TCCTTTGAGCATCTGCCCCTTGGTGGTCAGTTCATAGCAAGCAGTCATTCCACCATTCGGTTGATTTGAATATTAGCGTTTTATTATATAGGATAGGATATTGAATGTGACCTGTAAATGAAAAATAAAATTTAAAAAAGAACCAAATAAATTTTAGATCTGAAATTTTTTAATATACATATTTTTAATTCTCACCTGAGGATGTTTTTAAAATTGATTTTTAGAGAGAGAAACATCCATGTGACAGAGAAATACCAGTAGGCTGCCTCTGCACCTGCTGACCCACTGGGATCTAACATAACCTAAGTATGTGCCCTAACCTAGAATCCAACAGGAAATCTTTTGGTGTACAGATTGAGACTCCAACCAATTGAGCCACCTGGCCAGGGCAGATTTGATAAAAAATTTTTAAATGTACCTGCAGGCCCTGGTGGGTGTGGATCAGTAGTTAGCGTGTCCTCCCACGCACCAAAGGGTCATTCCCTTCCTGTCTCTCTAGAATCAATGAAAAAAAACACACACATATCCTTAGAGGAGGACTTAAAAAGAAAAAAAAATGCTGATTGGGTTCAGTGGATAGCGCTTCTGCAGGTGGACTGAAGGGTACCCGGTTGGATTCTGATCAAGGGCACATACCTGGGTTGCAGGCTCAATCTTGGGCCCTGGTCAGGGATTCAGCAAAAGGCAACCAATTGATGTCTCTCACATTAGTTTCTGTCTTTCTCCCTCCCTTCCACTCTGTGTAAAAAAAAAAAAAAAAAAAAAAAAATCCATGCAAAAATGTCCTCAGGTGATGATTAACCAAAACAAGCAAACAAACAAACACCCATCCCCAGTGCGATTATTGAAGGAGCATATGAAGTATTTGTTGAATGAACGGGAAGGGATGGGACTACGCTTTCTAACTGTGTTAGCAACTCTGCAAGCCAGAGGGTTTATTTTTTATTTTAATTTTTATTGATGGATTATTTTAGAGAGAGGAAGGGAGCGAGAGAAACACCAGTGTGTTGTTCTGCTTACTATGCTCTCTTTGGTTGCTTCTTGTCTGTGCCCTGACCAGGGATCCAACCCGCACCCTGGCTGTATCAGGAGGAGGTTCTAACCCACTGCGCTGTGTGCTGCCTGTCCTGGCCCCTCAACAAAACCCCTCTGTCTGCCCTGGTCCCTCCTGTGGGTCGGAGCTCCTCTGCTACAGCAAAGGTTTGGGTTCCATTCTGTCAGGGCACCTACTTAGGTTTCGGGTTTGATCCCTGGTTGGGGATGACTGCTGCTCAGGAAGTGACTGAGGACTTTGAGGTCCATGTGTTCTAGTCATTCAGCAAGGAGCTGGGGTTCCATTGCCGACATGGCCAACTCTGATCCCCACTACCCCGGCTCCTCCATCAAGGGCGACTTCAACTATGGCAGCTGCGTGGCCTCCGCCAGGCCAGCGTACATATCCGCATGGGTAGGTCGCCCTCCTGCGGTTCGCCCGGCCCTGCTGCTACCCAGTCGCCCCAGGAGGCAGATTTCTGGGTTCCCAGGGAAAGTGGGGTCTGGAGGGAAGCACTTAGCCCCGCCTCCCCTCGGGGCACCCGGGCAGGGCTCAGAGGGAAGAGCTGCCCCAGGGAGGCCTCCCAGCTGGGTGTGAGAAGATGAAACTGGAGCCCTTCCTCCTTGAACCCTGTTGTCTTCGGTGTAGACAGGGACAGATGAAAGCCTCGGCAGCCTCACTGGGGCATCTTTAAGTGAAGATGTTATTTTTTTTTCGGTGAAAATAAGTTTATTGTGTAATCAATATTGTGTAATCACAATATTGTGTAATCAATACCCTGCATTGAGTTATCTGCTGGGATGTTTGTGCTTTAGGGCATGTGAACGCATTTTATGTTATTTGACGCAGCCTTACAGCCCCCGCCTCGTGCTGCACGCAGCCACACCCACCCGTTCCAGCTGGTTGTTCTGCTCCAGCAGTCGTTATCTTGAGGGCAAATTTGCATATTCCTTCATTATATATATAGGTAGATTATCCCTTCCATACAAGGGATAACAGAAGAATTAGGCTAAATCTATGCCTATGACAGGTGTCCTGAAGGATGCCCTTGCTGTCCCTCAGTGTGACCTTGATTAGTCTGAAGCATAGCCATGCTGGAATGTCTAGGTCTGCAGCAATGGCAAGAATGGTCTCAGTTATAATTCAATCCTTTCGCAAAGTTTCCATTAGTTGCAATAGGTACATTTCAGAGATATAAGGGTATAAAAGTCTCATAATTCTTGCCATCAAATAATACATTCTACAAACAAATATCAATTGTTTTGCTAGTGAAAAATGATAAGCATCTTAAGAGAGGTATGGATAAGTGCTGTGGGCATTCAAAGGGCATGGTTATTAATAACGATTGCACTGATGTAAGTGGCTCTATCAAATCACAAAACTTTATGTTTATGTAATACTTTGCAAATCATGTTTGAATACATTATCAACTGTTCCTCAAACCACCATGTTGATTGACTGAGGAAACCACAGCTGTCATCTATATATATAAAAACCTAAGCGACCATTATGACCGGTCAACCAAATGACTGGTCAACTGGTCACTATGATGTACACTGAGGACCAAGGGGCAGACGTTCAACCCAGGTGCTGCCCCCTAGTGGTCAGTGCACTCCCATAGCCAACCTCCCGCGGCCCCTTCCCCCAGCCAGCCAGCCCTGATCTTCCTGGGGGCGGTCAGCCAACCTCCCATGGTCCCTCCCCCTGCACTGGATGAGATGGCCCTGATCAGCCCTGATCGCCAGCCAGGCCAAGGGACCAGATCTGTGCACAAATTTGTGCACCAGATCTCTAGTCATGGTATAAATGAGAAATGTGAGGGTAGAGCTAGCATTCACGTGATGTGGCTAATACTGTAGCTAGTTAGAGACAGAGCTAAAACTATGAGCAGCTTAAAGACAAGTTCTATTCCTAATCCACTTATAGTACTTTACATGCTGAAACCAAGAGATGGCAGTGAAAAAAATACCCCAAAACCTAGCCTTCAATTCTCCTTTTCCAACCAAGTGTTTAAAACAAAATAGCTCCACTAGAAGCTGATTAAACCATCTCTTACCTTTGCTGTCTGCAGTTAATAGCAGAGAGCCTGATTTGATCTGTGCTGTCGTGCAATCTTGTCATTGTGAGGTTCTTCAGAAGGAAGAGTGTCAGGGCCTCTTGTAAATGTGCTCTCTAATTCTTTTGAGGAGGGAGGAGAGAAAAGGAAAATTATGGCATACACATGCTCTAAATTTAAGTCAATTTTATTTCCTGCTTTATATTTGTACAACCTTATAACTTGTAAAATGCTTTTTTTAAATTTTACATGTGAAATTAAGAGGGTTCACAAATACCAACCTGGTAATAAAAATATAATTTTTTATCAAAGTTCAATAGTGTCTTAGCAAATGCTACCACCACCCCATTGGGGAGCTTCCTACAGTGACTATGCCTTGGTCCTTTTTATGTCTTAGACCGAAGTTCATTCACTGAGTGATGTGATCTGGTCCAATAGAACTTGAAAAAAAGCACATGTGATTATATCTTCTCTGTGGGTTGTCTCTTGAAATATCAGTCAATTAGGCAATTTAACCTGCCTAGTCTAGCAACATTGCAGTTGAATAGGAAACTGGAACAGAAATGATACAGATTTATAGATATTCTGTGAATAACAATTACAGTGACATCCATTTGGCACACAGTTGTTCATTGTTACAAAATCCACAACTGATATATGATTGCAGGGTTGGTTTAATCCCTTGTACCTCAGATAGAGGTTTTGGCATCAAAATACTTTCCTGCTTTACCAAAAAGTAAACAAAATCTTAATAGAGAAAATAGTTTAATTCTGATGAAGCAAACATTTTTTTCCAGGCACTGTTGTTGATTAAAAACAACCTATAAAAAATGCACATAAGAACATATAAAACCATATAATTATACATAGCAAATAATTAGTCTTAATATTATTTAAACATGTCTGGTTTTGTAATCTTTTTTCCTTTTATAAGCCTTTTTACCTGGTTACAGTATTATATATTTTTTGAATTTATGTAATTATATCACAACTTGATAGGTCTTCTGGCTATATTTAATACTATCTCAATTTAAAATAATTCATAACTCTTTTTGAAAGGAGTTTAAGCACAATTAGTATTATCTTTTATTTCTGTAAACACTTATCTCAAATCCCCAAATACAATAACCACAGTTACTTTCCACCATCAATGAGTCCTTTCAGATTTGAGTCTCATTTCCTGAACACCTATAATGGTTCAGTCACTGTAATAAATGCTTTGTATGTGCTTAACTCTCATACAAATTCTGTGATGTTGGTAATGTTATCTCATTTTACATCCATTTGGCACACAGTTGTTCATTGTTAAAAAATTCTGTAATTTTTCTATAATCATATGCATAGCAAGCAGCAGAGTTTAAACAAATGAAAGTGAAGTTAAATAGAGTAAAAAATTTAACTTAACAATAAATATTGCACAACCAAAATTAAAAATGGAAAAATATTTTCCTGGCCAATTGCTCAGAGGTTGAGTGTTGACCAATGAACCAGGAGGCCATGGTTTGATTCCTGGTCAGAGCACATGCCTGGCTTGTGGACTAGGTCATACAAGAGGCAGCCAATCAATGATTCTCTCTCATCATTGATGTTCCCCCCCTCCCTTCCCTTCCTCTCTGAAATCAATAAAAATATATTTTTTAAATGGGAAAAATTTGAATAGACATTGTTCCAAAGAAGATATACAAATAGCCAAAAAACACATTAACATCATTAATCATTGGGGAAATGCAAATAAAACACACTATGAGATTCCACTTCACAGCCAGTAGGTTGGCAAGAAGCAACCAGCCACTAAGATGGGTATAATTAGCAAGTGTTGGTGAGGATGTAGAGAAATTGGAACCATTTACAGATTGTTGGTAGGAATGTAAAATGGTACAGCCACCGTGGGAAAAAGTTTGACAGTTCTTCAACAGTTAAATACTGTTATAGAGTTACCATATAACCCAGCAACTTCACTCTTGGGTATCGACTGAAGAGAATAGAGAACATATAGCCAGACAAAAATTTTTACATGACTGCCTATTGCAGCATTATCAAATTGGAAACAATCCAAATGTTAATGTTTATCAACTGATGAAGCGATAAACAATCTATGGTATAGCTCAGCAACGGAATATTGCTATCATTACAATATTGAATATTACTCAGCAATAGAAAGAAATGAAATACTAATGCACACACAACATGGATGGAGACTTTGAGTAGTTCCAGGCAAGGTTTCAGCAATCAGCACAATTTCCAGCAGCCCAGGACTGCTTGGTACTCTAAGGTTCCAAAGAATAACAACTTTTTCACTTATAATTCTACCTCTCTGGTGAATACAGCCCTGCTGACATATTGATGTTAGTCCAGTGGTACCCATTTCAAATAGAATATCCAGTAGTGTAAGATAATAAATACGTGTTGTTTTATGCCACCAAATTTTAATTTGTTAGAGCAGCAATAGGACACTAATACAGCTCATGACATATTTGCTATTTGTAATGTTACTGAATGCTTTTAGCTAATATCTTATTTGGCATCCTTACATTTATATTCTTTTCTTTCTTTTTTTATTGTCTAAAGTTTTACATATGTCTCCTTCCCCCCGCACCCCCTGACCTCCCTAGCCCCCAGCCATTCACACCCCGGGCAAACCCCCACCACCCCAGTGTCTGTGCCCATTGGTTATGCTAATGTGCATGCATACAAGTCCTTTGGTTGCTCTCTAACCTGCCCAATCTCCCTTGCCTTACATTTATATTCTTAATTGAGACTAATTTTTTGCTTTGTGAGTGTGTGTATGTGTGTGCAGTATGTGACAAGTTAGGTGTCAAAGTTATATTTACTTTTAGAAAAATAACTTAGAAATGTGTCCTTGTTTTTATATCCGACATCAATGTAAGTAGCAATGGGATAGCTGGTCTTTGAAGACTTGGTTGATATCTAGCCCCTGACACCAGGTGGGCCTTAAGCTTTTTTGTGTTATTTGTATTTTACAAATTTTTAACCTCTTAGTTGGGCTCTCTCAAGGACCACTTGTATGATTCAATCCTGCTTCTCATGGTGAAAACAATGTTTCTCCTGGTCCCAGGAAATCTATAGAAAACACAAAGATAGATTTTTGCTGGTTCACCATAATGAATGACCTGATCTTGGTAGCCATCTTTCAGTATATGTTTTTCCACTTTATTGTTCTCTGGTTCTTTGACTGAATTTACTTCTGGGCCTTGAGATCCCAGAATTTCTCATTCCCTGCTCCTATTTTTCAAGACTGCTTAATTAATTCTTTCTTGCCAACTTGCTAATTGACTTAATGCCCCTATATGCATGTCATTTTGTTACTGATTTCAAAGTGTTTGCATTGGATTATGCTCTCATCTCTATGGCTCTATGGTTTGCTGCTTGGGTCTTCACCTTGCCCTGACCTCCTTTTGTTTGGACAAGTGTCTTGATCCTAGAGCCAAGTATCTATAACCTCATTAATTGATCTTGTGATTTTAGTCATGAAATTGGAATTTGTACTCACATTCCCATGTGTCCGCTTCTAAAATGTTTTAACTTCACATCCAGTTCTAGCTTCTGATCAAGACTGCAAATTTTTTTATCCCAAATATCCAGAGATTTTCACATCACTGAAGTGCTAATCCTAACAAACTATGTAATTCAATGACTATGTACTTTGTGCACTGTAATTTATTTTATACATTTTATTTTTGATTGAATACTTACTTCAAAGGGTTTATTCTGAAGGTAATATGCTATTCTAATCTTTTGAAATAACTACTAATTAACCTATCTTATTTGGTAGTCCTACATCTCTTTTTAGTCAAAGATTTCTATACCTTTGTCAATAAATTACACTCTCTTGCATAACTGCTAAGACTATTATCATGCTACATTATTGTTATGCTGAATCAGTTTAATTATCACTTTATAATCAACAGTCATTAATGTCTATACATGTGAATTGTGTTGCTATATTTTATACTCTAATTCAAAACTATTTTGAGAAATTCTACAGTTTTAACAATAAGTACTAAACCTCTTAGGGTATACAAGTGAAGTTTCTCAGAAAATGTAGTTATCAAATTTCTTTCAGCTTACAGCTTGTGGAGTTGGAAACATAGCAACATGTTTTGCCAAAATGTTTCATCAAATTTATAGGATAATTTATTTATTCTTAAATAAATAAACTTACTTATTGTGTCCCTATCATGCACTTAAGTACTGTTTTATGTGCTTGGAAAATATCAGTGAACTAATCAAAGATGCTTTCCATCATGCAGCTAATAGTCTAATTGCAGAGTGAAAGCAATAAATAGCAAATATAATAAACAAATTATGTGTGTCACATTATCAAGTGATAAGAATTATGGAACAAAACAAAAAATACAGAGGGAGCATGTAAATTGAGGATGCTTTGGGTAGAAAAAGGCTGAGTTTTTCAATTTTAAAAAGAGTGGTCACATTAGGCCTCATTGAGCAGATAAAATAAGGACAAAAATATATAGAAAAGGGAGTTGGACATTCAGGTATCTGGTGGAAGAATACTCAGAGTTAAGAGCCAGTGAAAATGCCCTAAAATGGGATTTATCTGACTTGTCTATGATCAGCAAGGAGGAAGTGTGCCTGAATAGCACTAGGCAAAGCAAGACTCAGCAAGGAGGAATGATCCAGAGGATAGTAATAGATGAGGCCACAGAGGTGATGATAGACTTGACATTGTAGGATTTGGTAGGCACTAGTGAAAACTCTATCTTGTATTCTAAAGGAAATTGGAAGATTTTGAGCAGAGATTAATATAATATGATTTATACTGTAAAGGGATTATTCTGGGTGCTGCCTATGTAAGGGTGCAGTGGTAGGAGCTGATTTTAGTTATTCAGTATAAAAGTTTGTGGTGGCGTGAATTAGAGAGGTATGTGGTGAATTAGCTAGAAGGCACTGCAGTGGGGTATGAGAGAAAAATCTTGAAATGATGAGTTTGAAATTGCGATTAAACACCCAAGTGAAGGTCTACTTGGATGGATGAGACTAGAGTTTTAGAGAGGGGTCTGGTTTGAAGATATAAATTTGGGAATTCTCAGTCCATGTCTGATATGGAAGGAAATGAGTACTTGAGAGCACAGGTCAGTGATTGTAGATAAAGAAAAAAATGTACCTTGGAACAAGCCTATGTGAGGGAGTTGGGGAAATAAGGGAAGGAGAACTAGTGAGAGACTAAGAAGGAACACCACAGTGAGGTGTTGTCACAGACTACATGCAAGGCACATATCATGGCAGAGGAATCCACCTCAAGGTTTAGTGAGTCACTTCAGAGTAAGGAGGCCAACGTGCAGCTGCAGATTTGTTGACATAGCACTAGGCAAAGCAAGACTCATCAAATGAATATTTTAAGTGAATTTCATCTATTATCAACTTCAAGCATTTTTTAATAAATGTACTAACGTGAAACAAAAACTGTTGATGTGCTGGCTCCACTAGCAAGAGAAGAACTTTGTAAGAATTAAGTGAATGTTGTGTCAGTATGATGAGATTCTTTGCTAGGATAATCAGATAATTCTAGAAAGGTTTGATTTGTTTCATCCAACTCATGAAATCAAAGCAGAGCACTTGGAAGGAAGTTCATTCTGTTGACAGTTAAAAATAAGATTTTTTTGGCCAGAGCTTTTATAAATTCAGTTTATAAATTCAATACTAAGGATAAAATAATTTGATTTTTTTCATGATAATATAAACACAAATTTTGGTGAAGCACAACATCATGGTATAAACAATATTTTTACTATATTAAAAAACCTGTGGAGCAGAAAATGTACTTAGAATTGGTAGTGGTGAGCATATAATGTATAATTGCACTCATAAAATAGGTGACATTTTACCTATTACAAAAGATATCATAGTTATCTAAGTTTATAAGTGTTTTTTATGAGCATTAAGTCATCAAACTACAATACTGCGATGACAGATAATGTTGAAAACAGTTAATGCTTCAGCTGAAGGTGGGGTTTCATCTTTGTTGCCCTTGATCCATCATAGTTTAGGAAAGTTTGAGTCACTGAAAAACTACTTTGTAAATATGTGTACTGCAATATGCCCTACAGTGAAAGTGAACTTATGAGTCTTCTAAATTATGGTTACAATATTTTTCAAAATGGTAGGGAGTTTTTAATCAACATATTCAACTCATGGAGCAGTAAGAACTTAAGTTTTGAAATTCTAAGCTATTTTCAATTATTGAAAACAAAACTTGCAAACAAGAAGATTGAATTTTTTTGGTACAAATGCAAGAGAAGAAGGACCAAGTGGGATTTACTCTGGGGATGCAAGGTTAATACAATATTAGCAAATCAATATGATACACCACATAAACAAAATGAAGGATAAAAACCTCATGATCATATCAACAGATGCAGAAAAAGCATTTGAAAAAATTCCACACATATTTTCACCATTCTTATTCAATATAGTCTTGGAAAGTCCTAGCTACAGCAATCAAACAAGAAGAAGAAATAAAAGGCATCAAATTGGACAAGGAGAAAGTAAAATTGTCATTATTTGCAGATGACTTGATGCTGTAGATAGAGATAACACTAAAATTCCACCAAAAACTACTAGAACTGATAAATGAATTCAGTAAAGTAGTAGGATAATAAAGAAATATCCAGAAATCATATATATGTATATCTGTAAAATGAACTATCAGAAAGAAAAACTAAGAAAACAATTCTATTCTTAATTGACTCAAAAGGAATAAATTTAATCAATGATGTAAAAGACCTGTATTCAGAAAATTATAAAACACTGAAAGAAGAAACTGAGAGAAATACAAAAAACTGGAAGCATATTTGGAACCATAAAGGACTCCGAACAGCAACATCAATCTTGGAATAGAAGAACAAAGTTGGAGTACTCATGCTACCTGATATCAAACTATACTATAAAATCACAGTAATCAAAACAGCATGGTACTGGCATAAAAACAGAATAGAAAATCCAGAACTAAACCCTCATCTTTATGGTCAATTAATATTTGACAAGGGAGGCAAGAACATGCAATGGGGTAAAGACAGTCTCTTCAATAAATAGTGTTGGGAAATTTGGACAGATACATGCAAATAAATGAGATTAGAGCCCTAACTGGTTTGGCTCAGTGGATAGAGCATCAGCCTGTGGACTCAAGGGTCTCAGGTTCGATTCCGGTCAAGGGCATGTACCTTGGTTGCGGGCACATCCCCAGTAGGGAGTGTGCAGGAGGCAGCTGATCGATGTTTCTAACTCTCTATCCCTCTCCCTTCCTCTCTGTAAAAATATCAATAAAATGTATTTTAAAAATGTATTTAAAAAAATGCACCATACACAAGAATAAATTCAAAATGGATTAGAGTCTTAAATGTAAGCATCAAAACGATAAAAAAATATAGGCAGTAAAATCTTGGACATTTATTGAAGCAATATTTTTTCTGATATGTTTCCTCAGGCAAGGGA